AGGATGCACAAGCAATCTGCCATGGACTGGCTAGAGCAGACAGGTTTGGGAAGTATGCCTGAGCTATCAATAGGTAACAGAGAAGTGATAATCTGTTCTTTGGGTGTCCTCTCTGCCTACTCCTCTTTGAGGAATCTGAGTAACTTGCCAAACAACTCAAAGCCAGGCAAAGGCAGGCAGTAGCAAGCCAAAAAGAGAAGGAGGAACTGAACAAGAATGGTAGCTGCAAAAGCTGAAGAGATCAGAGATTAAATAGAGTCTGCTCACTCACACCCCCACTCAGTCAGGGTTATACCCTAGCACAGCTACCTATTTTACAAAGTCCTACTTTGCTGATTTGAAAAAGGAAACAGCCATTTAGAAGTCATTACCTTTATAGGTGCTAAAGAAAGTACCTTAAAGGCAATCCAGTAGCATTAAAGTTTAAACTGGCATAGTATAAGTGACATGCTAATTGCTAGCACCAGTGACAGGAGGATCCCTTGGCTTTGACCTCTCTTCATTCACAGACACTAACACTTGTGCTTATATATCAAGCTTACTTCGCTAAAACACTAGAACAAGCCACTGTTCCCCAGTAAAGAAGCTACATAATGCAGAGTTCTGTACCCTTCTGTCCATTACAACTACATTTTAAAAATATGTATCTTTCTCAACTGTGTTATGTGCTCTAAGGAGAATCCTGCTCTTTCGATAATCAAAAGGAAAAATCACCATCACAGGTCAAGCACCTTTAATAAGTTACTACTCTTAATATTTATTTAAATGGAATATTACGAAGCTCTACACGTAACTAGTTGCCATCAAACACAGCAACACCTTCTCAAAAGCTTGAGTATACAGTTCTGTATAAGTCTTTCACCCTCAGAAAACTGCCGTGAAAGAAGCTCATACCAAGCTTCTGTGTCTAGCTTAAATTAAATCCCAAACATTGCCTGAAGAAAGGGTTGTCTTACAAAGAGACACAGAAGAAAAGTTCAGTTAACAATACTAATACTTAATTTAAATAGCAGGTTTTAATATAACTAATTATTTCCATGCATATTTTAGAGATCTGCAAGTGCTACATACTTTCAAATAATATATGCCAACCCTTATATGTCTCTTTCAACAAATACAAATGAGATTTACTAAGCACACAACTGTGATTGTGATCCTCAGCTTAGTTTAACTACCAGTAGTACTGAAAGAGAAAACACGCTACAAAAGTTGTCAAGGAGAACCTAAGCTATTTAAAATTGAAGAGGACTTTTGTTTGCTCTGTATCACAGTGAAAACAGATACTTAAGTCAGCAAAAACTAACTTATCAAGCTCAGGTTAGAAAGTGAAACCTTATTGAAACTAAGCAAAACCCACAGGCACTTTATTAATTTACACAACCAAGTACCAGTCCATTGGTTTAGATTAATGATAAAGCATATATGTATTTTAGCATTATATTAATACTGCTGTTAGTGATTATTGTAATTATCGTTACTGATACAATAAAGACTAAAGATTATCCTTCCCCCATGTTATAACATGGCAGACATATGCAAAGAGCTGCAAACATCAGATTTGCATAAGGCAGTACTGGAACAAAACATGCAATGATGCTTGCCTAAAACACTCTCCACCTCCAACCATAGTTTATGGGCTTCCAGAAACATAGGTTGTTTTATTCTTCTAGAAGTTTGTTCAAATGGTTTTTAGAACCCACCTATAAACTTACATATCCCAGCACTGTAAAGAGTACCACAGCTTACTTCATCTTCTTAGTCTTCATGCAGGGAAAAAAATAAAAATAAGAAACTACTTCAAATGTTTCGGCTTCCAGTTTTACTATTAGGAGGAAATGGGAACAACTGTTCATTACCTAACTGCCATACCACTTCTGAAGTATCCTTCAGAGACTTCCATCTTACACCCATCTCTTCAACAGACACCCTCTATTTCAAACCAAGAGCTCTCATCTACTCAGGTATGTTGCATACAAAAACTATTTTATACTTTTGGTAAGTATAAAACGATGAGACAAGATGATGAGAAGGGGTGAGAAAGGAAGAGGGAACAAAACAGAAGAGTACAATATGCATAGTGGCAGCACACAATGGATTTTGGAATTCTGGAAGTATTGTTTTCCTGCTATGAATTAAGAAATAGTAAGCAAAAATTAATTTTTTTTTGACTGTATAACTGAGCGTGAATCTGTAAAAATATTCAAAAACAACCTCAAGTTCTACTGCTACACAGGAATAAGAAGTTCATTTTAGAACATATGACTGTCCTGTTTTCATTCTTTCTTGGTATTTCCACTGCATATTTGCTTTACACAAATGAGCGTAGATGTTAATAAGTTTTCCACTAATAATTTTGTCCAACTGACCCAGAAAATGACCTCTGAGTTACAGTCTGAGAGCCTGCTGACCTCCTCCAACTTGCTGCAAAACTCACTGCAATCAAACTCCCTCCTCTTAGTAGCTTATTAACTGTAAGGTACGTAGGCACATGACCCAAGAACACTGAAACAACCCTTTCAGGTGCAGGGCCCAATTTCCATAAGAAACTCAGAATAATATACTGGGTCACTGCATCCATGACATCCACCTGTACAAGACAACTTTAATCTACCCTTCTTTGACCACGCACTAACTTATTTTTTGTTTCAGGTTCCATGCATGGAACAGAACACTTCAGCAGAGTGCAGAAGCACCACAAGTGACCTCATACTGAAGCCATGACTTCAAGGCAAGCTTTGACCAAAAACGAGATCCCTCTTACGTAATTTTCTAGGGAGCAAGAGGGACAACAGAAAAAGGGAACAAGATAGTAGCTGGGAACACAGTCTTAACGGTTAAGCTAAGAGCTGACAGACAAATCCCTCTTCCAATATGGAAGTCTGAGATTTCAAAGCACTAGTTGCCCAGGGAAGAACAAAAGCTAAGTGAACACTTTGCCATTGTTCCCCCATGTGATTCTCATACAACAAAAATCTGTTTCCTTGTTTGAGGATAAGCTAACTTCGTTCTTCAGCATACTCCAAACCTATGAAATTTTATTTCAGGACTATTTTAGTCATTACAATCAACTCAATTTTTCTCCTTTTTCCTCTTTACATTTGAGAAAGATTCTGAGTCATGCAGAAGTTCAACTGAACTCTCAGAACTATGCCCAAGCTGAATTTTGACCCCACAGTTTTTTTTGCTGAAAGCCATGCAATTCTGTTTCACAAAGCACCTGAGGATGTGTAATTTTGTTTAAACACTTATTCAATTTGAAACTTAAACAACTATCTTTACACATAGTAGTAGAATAAAAATAAATACCACTTTTAGTGTGTTGAAGCAAAAAAAACCCAAAAAAATCCAAACAAACAAGCATTTACCCCTGCCACAATGTAATACACAACAAAATCTGTATATCCTCACCTCTTGTGTTATAAATTACTATTTTATCTTCTTTTAAACTCTAAAGAGTTAGTTTCTGGCAATTAGTTCTGCTAACTCACCACACTAAAATTTGCAAAGCTCACAAGACACTAAAACAATTTTTTATTTTGGAGGAGGTATTTCAATTATTAAGGTTGTTCTGCTACAAGCTGGATCTTTGAAAAGTCAGTAATATTTAAATGACTGACAGACATGGTCTTTAGAAATTCTGTTTTCCACATTTTATTAAAATCCTCCTTTGTTTACTCTGCCTTTTTCTAAACTGAAGTTGACAGTCATACAGAAAGTGACCATTATAAGTCTTGACTTCAGAAGTGCATCACCTATTTCCTGTATCAGAGATAAAAGTTATACCTTACTAGTGGATATTCTGACTCTACAGGGCTACTCACAGGCAAGGAAAATCCATCCAATAATCAGTGCCTAAAATAGCTTAGAATAAGTAAATAAAAGTCTTCTAAGCACAATTATGGACATTAGTAATACAAAAAAAAGGTTTCATACAAAGCAAATTCTTCTGCTTTAATGTCTCAAAGAACAAACTCCAGTTTGTCAATTTGCTACCTGCACGAATTTTATAGTTATCTGCCATACTGCCTATCTATCATCATGCACTTGCTCTTCTACAGTCATTCAAAACACAGACTGCTCCTGGCACCTTTGAACAGCTGCTGTGCATGACTTGGAGCTGCACCTGGTCTTCCACCAAATCAGTATGTAACATTTTCTGGTGGCTGCTGAAGAATACCAGGGATGCTACTGGAACATTCATAGGAGACACATGCCAGAAGAGCAAATGAGCATAAAGGACAGTGAGCAAAACCTACACATGACTAAAAACCACACATAACAGAGAAAAGGTCTAACTAAGAGGGTATGTAGGTCTTCTGGAAAAAGAATGGCAAGGAGTTTCTCTAAAGCTAAGCTTCCAGTAAGCACAAGCAACTCTAATACTAGAAGTTATTCTTAACATACTTTAATATTTCCAATAGCACTCAAACACTTGTTCATGGCACAGTGACAAAACTTCAGTGTGTCAGATGCTTCATTTTTGTTTCCTTATTATCTTGCTTCAATTGAACTGGTATGTAAGTATTTAAGGTAATAAAATGTCTAATGATGGGAAAACTGAGTAGAGTGATTCTTTTAACAGTCCTCCATATTTTTATATGGATATATCCAATTTTTATTTGCTTTCATTCTAAATCTGAACTGTTTTCCTTGTTATTCCACATCCAGTTTTGAAGGCAGATTTCAAATTCTTTTCTTCATTGGGACACTCATACATTTTAGAAACACAAAGAGAAGCCAATCAAAATTGAATGTCACCTACATTTTGTCAAAAAGCAGAAATTAATACACAGTAATTTACGCATTCTTCCATACGTTAATAAAACAAGTTCCCAAAAATTAGAAAAAAAAATCCCAGTGTCTAGACAGGACTCAAAGTTTAAAATTCATTACAAGAAATTTAGTCTAGGAGAAGTACAAAAAATGCAATAGTGATACCAAACTCACCGTCCCAGATTAAGAAACAGGTCTCACAACCACGTATACAAGGTCAGTCAGACTCACCTTCCCTCGTTGATTTTTGCTTTATCCCCTTGACAAGAGAAGTTCTCGATGTAACCTAGACTGCAGTTGATTCGTGCCCAGTCAGGCTGGCACACAGCGAGGAAGTGAGGACGCAGTCTACCTATGGAGTACTTGGCAATGTCCGTCAATGACTGGCTAGCAGCTGCTCCAAAAATGAAGGTCCCAATGGCTTTGTAAATAGTGGCTATGTAGTTATTTCTGACAAACGAATTTGAGTGCAAATGATTACAAGAGACAGAGAGAGTCTCTCCTAGGATTATCTGAAAGAAAAATAAGGACAACAGTTAAAGAAAGATAGTCACTTAAAGAGAGAGATATTACTCTATTGTTGATAGTACTCAGACATGTAGTTTCAGAAATTAATTTTTTAATAAACATTAACCTGCAAATTTAAATTTTCCAAGAGTGAGCAGTAACCATGTCCTAACTTTAAACACTTTTATGTAAAAAAAACCCCAACTTTTACCTTACTCTGCTTCATGTTGAATTTATTGATTTTCAAAATACTTCTTAAAACAAAGCCTTCTCAGAGTAACATTTATCCGTATTACTTTGTATAACCCTAATTAGAAACATTTTCTCCAGTATTACATTTTATTCTACATTGAGTCTTCTTCACCTAAACTTGTACTGAGCAAAATTTTTCTACTTCATCATAAAGTTGTTATGTTTTTTCTGAAGCCAGGGTTTAGATTTCATTTCTGGATGTGAAAGGCCAGTTATTTAAACCAAAAAATTTCCTATTGCTCAGGAAAATTAAATCTTTTCCAGAGGAAAGAAAACTAATGAGAGTTTGGAAAGACAGGCATTACTGAGGTCTTTCCAATGATTTTTCACACTGCATGTTCAAGGTACATGCATCAAGTGTGCATTAAGGGTTGACAGGGAAGCAGATTTAATTTTGTTTTCCTGCAACTTCATCTTCTGCAGAAAGTAAGTTTTCCCTTAAACCAAGTTCAAAACTTCACCTCAGACAGGCTGGCAGATATTGAACTGGATAATCTCATTTTATATAGAAAGGCTCAGCTCACACGGATGATCAGATGGGTGGGGGACTGCATGTGTACAAGTGGTCTTTAAAAAGCCTGTAAAGATTAAATGATGGCTTCATCTATCGCTTGAGAGTGACAAGTCCAGCATCCCAGCAAAGCGGAGCTTTGGTGGATGAAACTGTTATTAGACACTCTGACACCTGGGCACACAAGTAGCTGTCAGCAGCTCTGCATATTAAGGCAAACAGACAATCCCATCAGATGTATGACACCGAAGTTTTACACCCTGCCACCACACCAAAACATAGACTGAAAGCTGAAAAACACCAGAACATGGACTAAATGTGTTACTAAAGTTTTCAGTAAAGTGGATGTTGGTAAGCTCTTCTACCACATCTACCTATCCCAGAGAGTAACTTCTTAATGAAGACAGTGGAGCAGAAATATCAGAGCCATGACTGGTAAATAATGAATCCCTTTAAAGAACACTGATACAAAACCTGCAAGAAGGTCACTTAGCTGAGGGGAGAAAAAAAATGAGGTGATATCAATGCAGCTACTTCACTGGATGCAGACATCAAAGAGTATTAATCTTCAATAATCTAACTGAGCATTGAGTAAAAGACACCAACATTTGCTTTTCCCATCTGACTTTAAAGCAACCTTGACAGAAAAGCCCCATTTTGTAACTAGAAGATGGTCCCTGATGTTACAAAGGTAACTTTGTCAGCTAAATGATCATACTGGCTCATATAGACATGGGAAAAATTAAAAGGAAATATACCTATTAAAAATTACTATATTCACTAAAGCCTTTTCTGACTTAGCAAGTCCCTGAGCTGCATATGGCTGATAGCAAAGTACTGAGTGCAGAATATCAATCCTTGCTTGTTGTGTTCTTCTGTTCTTCCTCACTCATCTGTTTCAACCACTGCTAGAAATGAGGTAACAAGTTAGATGAACTTCAGTTGTGACCAAGGACTGCTGCTCTTCAGTAATATTGACTACTAATGGTAGTAGCAGGGTGGCAAAAATAGTCTTATCTTAAAAGGCAGGATCTTTTAGCATGAATCACTTGCCAGTTAAAAGAACAGACAAAAACTCCAGGAGTATTGCTCTAAGTTTTTGAAGCAACTTTTCCAAGAAAAAGGAAACCAGATAAGAGCTTAAGTCAGTTTTGATCCCTAGCCCCTCATTTCTACAGTTATGAAAAAAAAAAAAAAATCCAGCTAAGAGCAAACACAAACTACAAGTTGACATTTACACTGGAACCTAGATAAAAATTTATGCAGTCCTTATGCAATGGAGTTAAAAAAAAAAAAAAAATCCAGCTAAGAGCAAACACAAACTACAAGTTGACATTTACACTTTACACTAGATAAAAATTTATGCAGTCCTTATGCAATGGAGTTAGATTGCCACAACATCCCTCCTGATTTTAACCTATTAGCCCAGAGAAAGAGCTGACCAATACTGAGATTTAAATTTAGCTTTTCCTTTTCCAGTTTTGATTCTTAAAATAAACTTGAATAAACATTTATACACTTAAAAGTCTTCTTCAGCATAGAAGAGTTTTATTCTGCTTGAAGTGTAGCTCTGATGAGCTTGGATGTCACTCAACACAGACCCATGAGTGGAGTCAGAAGCTTTTCAGCATATCTGGACAGGGATCTTAAAGCCTCTCTGTTGAAGGGCCATTCTTGTAACTAAAGTGCAGTCCCACGAGACTTAAGATATGAAATGGCTAACTGAGAAGGTCCAGCTCTCCCCTTTGCCCATGGCCAGGGATATGCCCCCAAGGACTTTCTGTGCCAGCACTGATGATGTATTCTTCCAGGAGCCATTTCACTCAACCTAGCTCAAAAAAAGCTACTGTTTTCTGCCTTTCTAAATTTCACTACCTTATCTGGGTTCTTTTGCCATAGGTGGCAAAAGACAGGGTAATAGTGGGATCTCACCTTTTGTCCACAGTAAGCCATTAAGTTAACTCATCTGACAGCATGTAATTAAATCTTACAGATGAAGTCGCTACATGCTTCAGCCAGTTCAGCTGAGCTAGAAGCTGTGGTCAAAGAGGGAGATCCCAAACTGGCAGTTGCAGAGGCAATCTCTCCAGCTCACTGGTCTCTGGTGTCAAGAAGAGGGAAGGAGAACAGTACCCCATTTTCAACCAGATTAGGTGCAGCATGAAAGTGAGACCTAGCATTAACTCAGACAGAAATGGGCCCAGTGTTTTATCCTGACTTTCAGGGAAATATCCAGGAAAAAAACTCCCTGGTTACTTATTCTTTTTATTCTAGTTATGCTTTTGTTAAGTTCTGACTGGAAGCCATAATATTTTTCTACTAAAGAACTTAGTATCTGTTGTTACACTTTCAAACACAGAAGTATTTCCAATTACTCTGTGGCAGATAAAAATGCTGACTTAATAGGTCATTCAAACTCATATTCTGAAAGTAGTAGCTCCCAAAATAGAAAAGCTTGAGCCAGTTTGTTAAAATACATTAGTGTTACTCTTAACTGACATAGTAAGGGATGAAGTTTTTTTGTCTCCCAGGCTATAGAATAAAGCCACCATAGTTCTAAGGTTATTCTTTTTCTGTTCTATAATTCTAGTTGTTTGACCTCAGTTAAAGAAAACCTTTTAGTTATTCTTGCCAGAACACCATTTCTACTGCTTTACCACCTGGTTGAAAGACATTATTTAAAGTTAATAAATCATAGAATACAGTTTTAAAAGCCTATTATTAGCAGATTACCCCCTCCTCCCTCTACCCCACCCCCATTTAAATCAAATGCAATGAAGAAAATTTTAACTTACAACAATTATACACAAAGGAACAATTATTCCTGCTAACAACTTATAAGAAATGGTGTCCTCTTTGTATGGATATCGGATGGATTCATCACTACAGAAAACTCCTCTCTGGAAGGGGATACGTCTTGAATTGAGAATTGCAAAAGGCAAGCCAGCTAGCAAAAAGGAATAAAAAATACATTACAAAAGCAACACAAAATCTGGCGATGATTATACCCCCGCATTTCCAAAAAGAAGTGCATAAAGAGGAACAGGCATGCAGCAAGTCAGAAAGTTATGCACTTCCTTTGGCCAATGACTACTGCCTTGTCTTTGTAGCTCCCAGGAAGGACTTCTGAATGACAGTGAGCAGGGCTGGATTCCTCTCACCTTCATATTTGTGGCACATCAAGTATGGAAGCATACAAAATGATGATTGAGTAAACAGTTCAGTGACAACCACTGAGTTGCTCAATCTGCTGCTACTGCCACAATTATCAACTATTCCTTTATACTCCAGTGAACAACACTTGCCCCTTTATACCTTCTCTGGACAGCTTCACAAGTCAGGAGAGCGTGAATTGCAATTCATGAAAGCAGAAAAGGGGTGCTTCTCAGGGACTGCAAGTGCAGAGGGCGTTTTCAGGAAGAGGTATGGAAAAAAGGAAAGAGTTACACATGCATGCGATCCCCTCACTTCCACACACACTGCATAGTTCCCTGGAACAACGCGGTCACTGCACAATCCCTACAGCCTCAGGGCATGAAGATTTTATTCCCCTCTCATCTACAAAAGAGTAAGCCTTTGGCTCATCCTAAACACAACAGAACACAAGATTAAGGTGCACAATGCTTTGTGCTATTGCACCTCAAGAGACCTGCGACACTAGCCAAAACTAGTAATTTGAACAGTGAAGTTTTAAAAAAAGCTCAAAATAGGATACAAATTGCTACAAACTAATAGAATCACATTTTTAAACCCTGGTCCTCCATCCTCGACACACACAGAATCTGTACAATCTGTTTGTGTACAGGGATGAATACCCTCAGAAAGAAATGGCTGTATGGGAAAAAGAAGTGGAGGACTACCAAGAATGTTCAATGAAACAATAAATCTTCTTTGACTTAGGGATGTACAGCCCAGTGGCATTGAAGTGCTTAAAAGGCCTTGAGTTTGTGCTCAAAATTCAGCAATATTGCATACAAAACGCATACCAATTTAGAGTTAGACAACAAAAATAATCTTGGGGGAGACACTCCTAATGTACCAGTAAGGGATCAGAAGGATGCCTCCTTCCTTCCTTCCTGCCAGAGAAGAATGTTGCCATGGTCTCGGTTCTCTCTTCAGGATCTCTGTGTGAAGGCACAACCCACCTCTTCCTTTCCCTGTACACAGCTATCCCCAAATAAGCGTGTTCAAACAGAAGTACACACAGAAAGAACAGGAAAAAAGAAAGGATAATAAAAGATACCAATGAAGCAGCAAGAGAACTGGTAGGGAAGAGTAGAGAAACACTAAGTTACACAGTTAGGATTTACAAGAAGCAAAAAAGAAAGAAAAAGATACAGGATTCTTTTCAATCCTCTTCCTCCTTTGCCCTCCACCCATTAAGTCCTCCAACTAAGCTTGACTCTTGGGTCCATCACAAATGAGTCATATCAATGATTTGCTATCAATTTTGTTCTTCACGCCACAAAGGGGCTGCTTGAAAGAATGCTTCAGTTTGAAAACAAATAACACATAACAAACTAATGGCTCACAAGGAACATCTCCATGAAGTGACCTCTGATGAATGACACACAGCTTTGTGCCACAACCAAGTAGCTACAGGCTTATCATAGTGCCCTTGTAGCCTAGCTAAGCTGACTGCAAAGAATCAAGCATCTTCTGTACTGTTACAGTCATAAAACCAATAGCATGCAAAACCTCCTCTATGAAAGTGGCAGAAAAAAAACTACTGTCATTGTGAAGAGGAGTTTTTTCCAGTTGGTGTGTAGTCCACACCAGCAGGACTACAACTGACCTAGCTCTGGCAGCTGTCCAAGCACACCAGACAAAGCAGAAGGACAGCAGGACGGGCTAGGCACCAAGCCAGAGCCTCACCAAAACACTGAACCATTCAGACACCAGCCCGGACAGAGCCCTGGAGCTGGACTCTGCAGTACAGCGCAAAAACATAGCCTTTCCGACCAGGAAAAAACCCCTCTCCCTTTCTCCTAATAGTAAGGAGAGCGGGGTTTTCAAAAATGCTGCAGCCCAGACTTCATTTCTGCTCTACCCTTGTTTTGGTACTGACAGCCTGTCATGATATATCATCAGTCATTTAGTATTTAGATAACTTGTGCAGGGAAGGAGGTAGAAGCAGTGTGCAGTCACAGTGAAGGAAGATGACCTGTCAACATAATGCTGTGGTGTTTCCAACACCATTTATTCTATAAAATATGTAGGGAATGAAAACTTCATCCTTTGTCCTGCACACATATAAACACCAAGATTCAAGATGTATATTTGAGGGAAGTGTATTTTTTAGATTTTTCAGGATAGGAGGATGAGGCATACACAGATAAGACTCTCTACTATTTACAACTTCTTTCAGAGTAGGTAGTTTTAAACATCATGGTAAAGCAGTTGCTCACAGAATTAAGTTTAGCCTAGAAAAACCTTATCACACCTCAGCACACTGCCACAAATACTTGTGATCATAGTCAGGTGGTGACACTGACATCATATCACCAGCTCTACATTACCAGCTCTCCTTTTTAAAGACCTGCTCTATGAATAACGGTGACATGGTAGCTTAGTCCTCATTCCTCCTACCCACACCTGAATGTTGCAGCTGGCTCTCAAGGTGGGAGATAACATTCTCAGAGCACTGGGGCTATTCAGGTGGTTTGGGGGGCTTTTTTTTTTAATGCAATTTTCTGCTGCTAAATTAGAAATGAAAAGCAATTGTATGTGGCTCACGGGAATGAAATCCCTCATGCAGTGACATGTGCTTTCCCATGCAAAGAGAAGCTGCTTGAAATGTGTGCTCACTCTTTAGCAATATTTAGATTAAGATGTAATTAGCCTGTAATTGCTTGCAGCACCTTCCTATATCATGATGCTGCAAACAAAATACAAAACAACTTAAAGGTTGTTTTCGTTTTGCTATTTAAGCAAAAAAAGCCAGCTAAAACAAAGTTATTAAAATGCCTTCTCTCTCATAATTTCTTTCCACTCTTTTACTCTGAAACCAATCCCACTTCTCTAATCAAGAAAGAAAACTTTATGAAGTTTCCTGAAGGCATTACCAGCAAAATTTAGGTAAGACAGTGAGAGTCTTAAAATTCTAGGTATCTGCTTGGTTTGAAGTAAATTAACTGGAAAAGCTATGCACTGAAATACACCTTATATATTCATTAAATGTTTCATTAAATGTTTCTTCAGTTTCCCTCAACTGAATAACAGATTTAGAAAGTAATTCCACCAGTCATTTGTCTTCTTGCTGTCCTCAGCACATTTCAGTACCGAAAGGAGACTTGCTCCATGAAAGTTTGAGTTTAAAGCTTTAATTTCTAAAAATGAGATTACAGAAAGATTGATCAGTTAAAATGAAAACTAAAGTCACAGAACTACAACATTTGCAATTTATTTTTTGCTCAATCCAAGCTATTAGCCTGAAAAACCACACCACTAGTGGCTTTTGATGTCTTTTTGGTTAAAGTACTCTCCAATGTCAATACCTACTCCCTCAGAAAACACTCCATAGAGCAGGTTTAATTTACTTCTTCTAAACACACATGGATTGACTTCACTATGAGCTGGTGGGAGGGGGGAGAAAAGTAGAAGTCAAAACAGAGGGGCAGCAACTCCTGTTTCTGGTAAGTGAAGCCATTAAGAAAAACTTCTCACAATACTTAGGGGTTTTGTTCTGCTTTAAATGAATCCGCAAAGTTTGGGTTTGTGCTATTTTAAAAGTTTTTTGGAAAAAAACCAAACTTCTAAAAATCAAATCAAAAAGTTATTTCAAATATACAGCTTAAGTACTTTCTGCAGTGCAAGTCTCTCTCCCTCAAAGGCAACACAGACACAGGGAAAAATACAGTCTGGCTTTTTCATTAGCACAATGTAGGTCAAAGAAGCAGAAGAACTGGCATAAGCGATGAAAGAGGCAAAGCCTCTTACTATAGCAAGTACAACAGTGGGGTTTCCCTATAGTTGTGATAGGCATATTACTTTTTCACCCTGAAAGATATAATAACTTCAGAAGACAGCAGTAAGTTTTTGTGTCACGGTAGCAATTTCCCAAGTATGAAACCTCCTGGCACAGGAGGACTGGATATGATTGAAGATATCATATTGTATTTGTCTTCATAGTGGTACAAATATCACGAGCATCAAAGTCTTAACTTCCTAGATACAACTGAAGATCAAATTCTAATAGTAGCATAAGAGGTGGTGTACTTCCTTGCCAGGAGATTTTTTTACATAGAAGTCTAAAGTAGTTTCTCAAGGAAGAGTAGCAAAGATTGAACAGTGGATTACTGGGAAAAGTCCTGCTCATCTGCCATAGTCACATATTGCCACAGTAAGTGAAAAGAAAGGCTCTGCTTTTTCTACAAATATTTATTTTTCCCCTAAACAAGCTAAAACTTCTAAGGGGAGATTTTCGCACATTAAAAAGGAGAATTAGTAAAAATTAGTTGTGCTTAGTTTTACGTGAAAGTAGAAGAAACTGGGGAGTTTAAGTACTCCTTTTAAGCAAGGAGTGGAGGTGGCAGAGCATCATTAAAGGCTTTCTGCTGTATACTTCCCATATGATAATACCTAAAAGCATCCCTGATGTATACTTACTTTTCCAAGTCAATTCTAACACAGTGAAGAAATTGCCTAAAGGGAAGATGACAACAGGTATGTATGTTAAGAGGAATTATAAGGTTGGGAAGAGGTTACCAGCAGGATAATCTCAAGGATAAAGCCAATAAGCTAGTGTTATGCACTGCATACACCAGCATCATTAATGAATAACTAGTAGATGTACTGCTGACAGAGCTGGCAACTCTTTGATATAGTGGAAGATCAAGGTCAGCCAGTTCTGCCTGCAAAACAACTCAAACGACTGAAGCAAGAGAACAGATGCAGATTTTTGCAGTAATGAGTTCAGAGTCATGCACTTGGAAGTTAAACAACTCTGGTG